AATTGGAGGTTTATTTAAAAAAAAAAAAAAAAACAACAACAACCGAGTATTATTATTTTCCAGACAATTATGAGCTAACATTTAAGGGCTTTGGTTACAGTTCCTTTGCTGCTGATTAGGTATTCCTGGGTGGTGATTAGTGAATGTACAAATACAATCATTTGGTAGGGCTTAATCACTCATATGAGAGGGAAGTAAGTTACCCAGAAAGTGAAACTGAAGCTTGTATAGCTTTCATTAACCTTATTTTTAAAAAAATATATATTTTATTGATTTTTTGCAGATAGGAGAGGAGAGGGATAGAGAGTTATAAACATCGATCAGCTGCCTCCTGCACATGCCCTACTGGGGATATGTCCGCAACCAAGGTACATGCCCTTGACTGGAATTGAACCTGGGACCCTTTAGTCTGCAGGCCAATGCTCTATCCACTGAGCCAAACCGGTTTGGGCAACCTTATTTTTTTTTTTTTAATAGAACAAAAAAGAAGAAAAAAAAAGTTGACTAAATTAGGAATATTGAGCCATATAAGATAAATTGTTGTTTAAAAGAAAAAGAACATTAGAAAATATATGAACAAATTGCTGTACTATTTATTTTATTTATTACTAGAGGCCTGTTGCACGATATTCGTGCAAGAATAGGCCTTCCTTCCATTGGCTTCACTCCTGGGCCACCCAGGAACCTGCAAGTCCTCACTCCCTGCTAGAGCACCACTCCTGTAGCTCCCTCCCGCTCCGTGTCTGCATATGCAAATTAACATGCCATCTTTGTTGAGTTAATTTGCATGCTCACTCCTAATTGGATGTGGGCATAGCGGAGGTATGGTCAATTTACATGTTTGTCTATTATTAGGTAAGATATTATCTGTGGTACAAGTAGCTTATGAATAATTGGTCCTTACATATCAGGATAGTTTTCAGAGAGAGGAAGATAAGTGCTATTAGCAAATGCCTCTCCTTTCTTTGTACTGGGTGACTGAGCACCCACAATTATAGCATGGGCAAGGGGGAGGAAGCATTTTTTCCCAGGTTTAGTACTTTACTCAAGGCTGAGAAGAAGAGATATATGACTATACCTTTTATTCTTTATTTTTAAAAATTCTTTATTGTTTAAAGTATTACATATAGTATTACATATGTCTCCTTTGCCCCCCTTTGATCTCTCCCCGGCCACCCCACCTCTGCACATTCCCTCACCTTCTTAGTGTCTGTGTCCATTGGTTATGCATATATAATACAAGTCCTTTGGTTGATCTCTTACCTTCCTCTCTCTTCCTCTGCCTTCTCTCTGAAGTCTAATGGTCTGTTGATGCTTCTCTCTCTCTGGATCTATTTTTGTTCATGAGTTTATGTTGTTCATTATATTCCACAAATGAGTGAGATCATGTGTTATTTTTCTTTTTCCAACTGGCTTATTTCACTTAGCCTAACGCTCTGCAAGCCTATCCATGCTGTTGTAAATGGTAAGAGTTCTTTCTTTTTTACAGCAGTATAGTATTCCATTATGTAGATGTATCACCATTTCAGAGAGGAAGGGCAAAGGAGAGAGAGATAGAAAAGTCAATGATGAGAGAGAATCGTTGATTGGCTGCCTCCTGCACACTTCCTGCTGGATATCGGGCCCACGACGTGAGCATGTGCTTTTGACTAGAATTGAACCCGGGACCCTTCAGTATGCAGGCTGATGCTCATCCACTGAACCAACCAGCTAAGCCTTATGATTTTCTTAAAAACACTAGAAGCCTGGAGAATGAAATTCGTGCTTTGGGGGAGGGTGGCCCTCAGCTCAGCCTGCACCCTCTCCAATCTGGGAACCCTCAGGGGATGTTCGACTGCCAGTTTAGGCCTGATCCCTATGGGCAGTTGGATATCCCTCTCACAATCCAGGACTGTTGGCTCCCAACTGCTCACCTGCCTGCCTTCCTGATTGCCCCTAACTGCTTCTGCCTGCCAGCTTGATCACCCCCTAACCACTCCCCTACCAGCCTAATTGATGCCTAACTGCCCCCTTGCCAGCCTGGACATCCCCCAAGAGGTCCTAGATTGGTGAGGGTGTAGGCTGGGCTGAGTCCTTGCATAGCTGTACACACCTCCAGTGCATAGATTTCATGCACCGGGTCTCTAGTAAAAATATATTTTGAAAAAAAACTACCAATGAAATAAGATTACACATAAACATACAACTTCCCTCCCCTGCAGACTTGATCACCCCCAAATGCCCTCCCTTACAGGCCTGGTCCTTCCCAACTTCCCTCCCCTGCTGGCCTGATCACCCACAAGTGCCCTCCCTTGCAGACCTGGTCCCTCTCAACTGCCCTCCCCTGCTGGCCATCTTTGACCACATGAAGGCAGCCATCTTGTGCATTGAAGTGATGGTCAATTTGCATGTTACTCTTTTGTTAGATAGGATAGAGGCCTGGTGCATGGGTAGGGGCCAGCTTGTTTGCCATGAAGGATATCTTGGATCAGGGTGGTGGTTCCCCTGGGCATGGGGCAGCCTGGGTGAGGGGCTTGTGGTGGTTTGCAGGCCGGCTATGCCCCCCAGCAACCCAAGTGGAGATCCTCGTATCTGGGATTTATTTATCTTCTATAATTGAAACTTGTAGCCTTGAGCAGAGGCCAGGGCAGGCCAGGGTAGGCGGAAAGCTTGGCTTCCTCCATCTCCAGGGAAACCCAAGCCTCCTACTCACTCCATGGCTATAGCCATTTTTGTTGGGATTTATTTATCCTCTACAATTGAAACTTTGTAGCCTTGAGTGGAGTCCAGGGCCGGCCAGGGTATGCTGGAAGCTTGGCTTCCTCCATTGCTGGCGAAACCCAAGCCTCCTGCTCGCTTCGTGGCCACAGCCATCTTGGTAGGGTTAATTTGCATACTTGCTCCTCATTGGCTAGGGCATGGCTTATGGGTGTAGTGGAGGTATGGTCAATTTGCACATTACTGTTTTATTAGATAGGTTTTTCTCTAGCTTATTTTATAATAAAAGTAAAGCATGTGACATATAACTTACAAAATATGTGTCCATTGGCTATTTATGTTTATGTTAAGGCTTCCAGACAACAGTTGGTTATTAGTAATTAAGTTTCTGGGGAGTCAAAAGTTATATGTGGATTTTGGACTGTGTGTGGGATCAGTACCCCTAACACCCTTGTTGTTCAAGGTTCAACTGTATAAATCAAACTGTTGTATCTACTTCAACCTTCCAGCCAAGACTTCTGGCTCTTCATTCCTAGGGTGATGAACTGTCCCCATTTGCCCAGAACTGTTCTGATACCAACACTGAAAGTCCTGCATCCAGGAAATCCCCTCAGTCACAGGGGGATGGTTGATCACACTATTTTACTTCCCTGACGCTGTAGCAGCTGCAGGGTAGGAGGAGGGGAAACACACTCACTGCCACTGTGTACAGTCTCTTCCCTGTAGTGCAGATGAGAAACAGCTTGCATAGCTGTACACCCCAGGATGCAATTTCAGGGAGGAAGATATTGCTACATCTCACATGTGCCCAGATATTACTGTTCTTATTATCTATTGCTGCGTTACAAATGACCATAAAATTTAGAGGCTTATGACAATGTTACTCCGTTATCTCTTCTGGTTTTTGTGGACCAGGGATTTGAGAAACCCTCAGCTGGCAATTCTGGCTCCCTCAGTATCCCAGTGGCTACAATTAGAACAGCTGGGGACTGGTCAGACACCTCTCTGTTCATGTCATCTCAGGCCTCTCCACGTCAGCTATGGGAAGGGCTACTTTAAGCTCTTAAAGTCAGTGCCTCCACACAGTTTGATATTTACTGACAGTTCAGGGTTCAAGAGAAGTGTTCCAGCCACCATGTAAGAAGCTGCCTTGAATGTCATCTAGGATATTGCATAACATAACTTTCACCACAGTTACAGGATTCAAGGAAGGGAAACACAGATCCCACTTCTTGATAGCTGGAATATCAATGGCCCAACATGCTGGGGTGGAGAGATTATTGCAGCCATCTTTGGAAAATACAATTTGCCACAATCACCTTGGCCCCAAAATGCAGTTTTTCATTAATACTAGTAAGAGTAGTGAAGTTGTTAAAAATACAGTTTTTCCTCATGAATTTTCATAAAGCAATTTTCATTTTGAATGAAAATGAAAAGATCAGCCTGTAAATGTTTCTTGAATTGTTTTGAAATTGCTTGCTCTCCATTTGGACTGAATAACTATATCTATCTATCTATCTATCTATCATCTATCTATCATCTATCTAGCTATCTATAATATCTTTCCATCTATATGATATATATCCCTTTCAAAATAAAGCCAACTGACCAAGATAAATGTAGCAAAAGTTCATATGCTTCTGTAGTAAGAGTTTTAGGGTGTGTGCGATGTGTCCGTACACATAAGCACCTTGGGGAGGAGAACATGGAAAGGGAAGAGTAATTGGAGGAGAGAAGGACATCAGCGGCACAGGCTGATTCAGGTTGGAGGGAAGTGCTCACTGCAGGAAAGAGCTCTGAAGACTTTGATGGCTGGAGAGGGAACTAAGGTCAAGGGCAGAAGCATTTTGAAGTGAAGGGCAGGAGTACATATAGCATCACTTGAGTATGGTCATCTGGTTTAAAATGTGAATGCTAACATTCTGGCTCAACTTGCTTAGACTGTCTCTCTGTATTTCGACAGTAAGATCCATGAGTTATTATTTTTGATAATCTCTAGCTTCTTACTATTGGATAATGGAAATCAGGATTTTAAAAAAAATATGAAGCAGTTACATGGGGAATTTGCCGACAGCATTGTTTTCACAAAGTTTCAGAAAGGCATGCTGCAAATCTTAATTTTTTAAACTGATTTTTTTTGGCTTGATATACCAATATATTTAATATTCAAGTTTTGTGATTCTTACATGAGTTCTATTGTTGTCCTAAACTCATTATTTTGTTGAGAAAAAATAGGATATGAGAAAGATTATAATTCTAAGCCACCACTTGGTTAAAAAGATGTCATCTGTGTTTGATTGTAGGAGTACTGCGATACAGTCCAGCTGGATTCTGGGATAGATTACCGAAAAAGGGAGCTTCCTGCTGCAGGAAAGCTCTACTACCTGTAAGTTTGTTCTTGTTTAGATGTTAATTTTGTAAGTTTGCTATCTAATAATTACTCAGGAAAGGATCAGAAAAATAAATAGGTTAGTTATTAGAACGGGAATGGCTAGTTTTGAAGCCTGTGATTTTTAAAATACAAGGTGTTATAATATTAACTACTTTAAACTGTTTTTTGCCATCCACATTTGCATGATTTATCATGTGTGATTGGATGAAGCCCTAATTAGTTTTTGGGGGAGGAGTGATGACAGATGGTTAGGAAGTAATGAGTATCCTCTTATAAGACCCTCTAGTATTAAGAGAATATCTTTATTGTGCTAAAGTAATTAATTATTTGTGGACATCTTCTGCCAAATGTGCCATTTCCATTTCCTGAAAATTGCTGTTTTATTTTGTCAGACAACCTGTTTGTATTTATCATTGTTGATTGACTCCCATACATAACTATGTAAAACATATATACACATATATACACAAGTATGATTGAATATCATTTTGTTTTTTAAAAGCTAAAACTTTCCTTTATAGGACCAATTTATAAATAATAATATCTTAAGTATGTGCAGTTAATGCTGGAAAACATAGTTTGTTTTAAAATGTAATTGTGAGAAAAGGAAAAAGCGCTTTACAAATGCAGACTGTTGTTTCGTGTATGCTGTCAGTGTTAGGCACACTGTAGGTTCCCAGTAAATAAATCTGTCTAAGGCAGCGATTTCAACCTTTTCCATCTCATGGCACATGTAAACTAATTACTAACATTCTGTGGCACATCACAAAATATGTTATTTTTTGCTGATATGACAAAAAAAGATATATATATATATATATATATATATATATATATATATATATATATTTCATTTACACCAGGCAACCATTATTATGTTGGCTGTTGTCATTTCTTTTTACTTGACGATCTAAGGGAAAAGCAGTCAGTGCCCCTGACTAAATAGTCAGGTATTACATGTTTTAAAAATTCATGTAGCACACTTGTGTGCCACGGCACATGGTTGGAAATCGCTGGTTAAGGGCTAATTGTGACTTAACTCAAAGGCGTGTTTCTGCTAATTTAAATTTTGATGACAATGTGCATATGAAAGGCTCAGAAAGTTCTCATCTCTGCCACCTTGTAAGCAGAAGCACTTTGCTGTTTTTGAAGCAGAAATTAGCTAGAAAAATCACATAATTAAAATTGCATACTTTACAGTGTACCAAGGGAACTATTTCAGTTTATTATTCAGATTCTGATGATTATTTATAGGAGGTTCTTCATCTGCCCTTAAGTACTTTGTCTTTAAAGTACATTATAATTTTTAAAAACTCTTATAGCACTTTTTCTCCTTTAACTTAGATATCTCTCCCTCCACCCCCACCCCCCAGTGCCAGCTTCTTTTATAATTGTGTTTTCTGGGCTTTTTATTCTTCTGATATTCCTGATTCTTAGCTACTTATTTTTTGCTACTCCAGGTGTAATTCTTCTTCTTCATCCCTCCTCTTCTTCCTCTTCTTCCTCCTCTTCTTCCTCTTCCTCCTTTTCCTCCTCTTCCTCCTTCTCTTCTTCCTCCTCTTCCTCCTCCTTCTTGTCTTTATTTTTCAAATAAGGTAATTCTTATTCCCTTTTTTCTCACAAAACGTATCCACCTGTGGAAGAATTAAAACATTTTTTCTAATGGGAAGTTCCCTAAATAAATATGGCATTCTAGGTCTAAATTGTGGTATTTGCTTCATAGTGCCAAAGAGTCTGGGTGAGATTTACAGGAGGCAGAAAGGCTGCTTTTGCTTGGAGCATAGCTATTTCCTCTCTGACCTACTTTGTGCTGCCCCTTCCTCTGCCTGATAAAAGTAACAGAATTCTAACACAGTGAAATGCAGATTGTGCTTAGGTTAAAACATGTCCTGGAGGAAAAATAATTTGACAACATCTGAGTCCAGGAAACTAGAATTTACAAAGGATTTTATGAAACTTTGGAACAGCTTTAAAAAAAATCATTTAATCCTCAAGGAAGGTAGATTTGGTCACAAATTTAACATTAAAAGAGTTTTAGTGGGCTCAGTTGGTTGGGCATCAGCTCATGTACCAAAGAGCTGCTGGTTTGATTCCCAGTCAGGGCTGATACCTGGGTTGATGGCTCTGTCCCTGATATGGGGCCAACAGGAGGCAACCAATTGATGTTTTTCTTTCTCTCTCACCAATATTTTTCTTTTCTTCTCTCGCTAAAAAATCAATAAAATGTTTTTAAAAAGGGGGGCTTTCATCATAGTTTGGTAACTAAGATGAGAGAGCAAACCATTTTCAGAAGTCACCTCAGGGTGCTTAAAGTCTGTATGATCTTTAAGTCTCTGTTTCAAACTATAGGTTCCCTCTCCAGCTCTCTTTTTTTCTTTTACTTTTCTCCTCCCCCACAAATTCAGCTTAAAATATTTTACTATCATTTAAATGTTTCTCCAAAAGAAAAAAAAGTTATAGCATAAAAATTCAGGTATCAGAAAGACTCAAAGACTATTTTTCACTCTGTTCAAGTTTTGTTTCCAGGCATGAAGTGTGTCATACAGTTGTTGCCATTGCTGTTTTCCAAATGTCCGATGTGTGCCATGACTGACAACTACTTTTCGCTGGGTCTGAACAGTTTTGCAGTAGACCACTTTTGTTTTCATGGCAATCAATAACAAACACTTCAATATCATCAGCTCCAATCGAAAGTTCTTGTTGTATTATATATATAAAAAAATTTATTTTTCACTGTCATTCCCATAAAAGTAAGTAGTCTTATTTTTGCCATATTCTGTTCATGTACTAGTCCAAGTGCATCTCTGAAGTCTTTATTATTCTGATAAAACTTGATATATGATGTCAAGTTAGCATTCACAAAAATGGTTAAAAGATCATGAATAAGTTCACCTTCTAAAACTTGACTGGCTTTCAAGTAAGAAGATGGTCAAAAGGAAATGCATTTGGATCTTTTAATGCTCGTACAATACACCTGTGGGCATCAATGCAAGCCTGAGCATTGTCCTCCATGTAACTTCCTCGCAGTTCTACCATGACTTTTGAAGTAGCATCACTTTTCTTACAATCCACAAGTGCCTCATAAAGTAGCGGCAGGGTCCCAGAAGAGAAATCCATTTTCTAACCTGATCCAGCTCAGTTGAAATATATTGGATGGTCCCCCAAGATGGTGCCACTTTAATGAGATTGTAATATACTGTATATCTTACAGGAATATTCTTATCTATCCTATGGAAAAGGTTGCTTAGCAACTGCAATCTCAGAGATGGGCTTGGTTGACCTGTTTGGATTTATGCAAACTATATTCCTCACATAGGGATCTACTACTGAACCCAATCCACCAAACAACCAGCAAGAAAATGACTTTGTGCTCATCTCATGGTTACAGCAGAATGAAAATCTGGACAATCATGAGATACTTTATGTAAAAGTTTGGATATATGCACTCAAGCTTGCTGTGGTTTGTAACTTGCTAATTTAAATTCTCTGGGTTTGTTTTATATGAGATTGAGAACTTCTTGGGACAGGCTATAAACATCTGGTATGCAGGGATTTCTAAATGTAATGTGATATAAAATCAATAAAATGTCTGCCTGGTGTGGCTCAGTGATTGAACGTTGACCTATGAACTAGGAGGCCATGATTCTATTCCCAGTCAGGGCTCATGCCCAGGTTGTGGGCTCAATCCTCAGGGGTGGCATACAGGAAGCAAGGACCAGGCCTGCAGGGGAAGACAGTTGGGGGGACCAGGCCTGCAGGGGAAGGCAGTTGGGGGGGACCAGGCCTGCAGGGGAAGGCAGTTGGGGGCTACTAGCCTGGCAGGGGAGGGCAGTTAGTTGGCGATCAGGCTGGCAGGGTAGTGGTTAGGGGATGATCAGACTGGCAGGCAGGCAGGCAGACAAGTGGTTGGGAGCAGCAGTCCTGGATTGTGAGAGGGATGTCCAACTGCCCATAGGGATCAGGCCTAAACTGACAGTTGGACATCCCCCAAGGGATCCCAGATTGAAGAGGGTGCAGGCTGGGCTGAGGGACACCCCTCCAGTGCACAGGCCTCTTGTAAAAATATATTTTGAAAAATTACCAATGAAATAAGATTACACACAAACATACAATGCCTTGTATGAATTAGTTCTTGTGTAAATCAGACAATACTATAAGTCAGAGAAATTGTTCCATGTCAACTTTTTAGGTAATTAAAAAAAAATTAAAAGTACAGAATAAAATGTTTATATTTTCTTAAAATCCTTATCTTCTTGTTATTTCATCTTCAAATAGATCACGTTTATAACTAATAGTCAATCTTCAACTAGTAGAAAAGCTGACCTAGCAAAAAGTCCTAGGTTGTTAGTTGCTTGCTGTAACTATTAGTTACTAAAACTCCTCGGCTTCTCTTTCCCAAGTGATGTGACTCTCTTCCCCTGGAGAGAAGTTAGAGCTTCTTTCTCCCTAGCTTTTTAAAATCTTTTTAAAAATCTTCAGTCACTATAACCTTTCTGAACTTTTCTGAAAAAGAAATATTTTTGGATCTCTTATTTGCAATTCTACCTGTTACATCACTGATTTATTTGTGAGGAAATGCAATATATAAATGTGACAGAAATTTTATGTGGAGTTTGGGACTCAGATGGGGGGGGGGGGGAGGTAAAGGTCTGGAATTTGAGAGCAAAAGGTGCTAGATCCCACTTTTTGTATTAAATGCAGGTCAAGATTAATAGGACCAGGTAAGTTACACTCCAGGCGATTGAGAAGGGTGGGAAATTTAGAGACCGAAATGGATCTCTGAACAGTCAATTAAGCCTTTGAGTGATTGAGAAGAAGATAAATACTAGGACAGAATCCATCCTAACAACTGATTCCGTTATGTAAAACAAGACTACAGGATTTGAAATGCAACCAAGTCTGTTTTATATGAAGGCAAATATAAACCAACTTAATCTTGGACCTGCCTCCAGCCCCAGATTATGTTTGGTGTGAGCACAAAGGGCTGTACAGCA